TTATTTTAGTGATGTTCATTTCTGGTTTCTTCATTGTCCATTTTACTGTGCCATCCTTCACAGTTAGTTCAGCTTCAGTTAAATTCAATTTGATTTTTCTTTGTGCTGATTTAGGGGCTTTCTTATTTCTTGACCTTTGTATACCTCAGTGCTTGGGATTCAACACAGGACTCCTACCACCAGGTCAAAACTTCAGAGCTGATGCTTCCATTCTGGGTAGCTGCATAATTCTAGGGCTTTGTCTTCAGCATAACTGAGGTGACAAGGCTTCACGTGGTGGCAGGTGACGGTTTATGTGTACTGCAGTCCTGCCTATTGAAGCTGTTCATGGGAGAAAGCTTCATTTGAGCAGCTAACGCAGGCCTCGAAGGCCATAAGGATAGGGTAGTACCTGAAGGTTACTGTTGTCCTAATATTCTGTAGGATTATACGTACATGCAATATAACAGAAAGACCCTTTCAGAAGTTCTGTATCTACTCAGGTTACTTTAACTTCATCAGTGTTCCTTGTTCTTCAGTGGGGGTGAGGTGGGATAGAAGTCAGTGATAACAGAAACATGCTTAGGTGGCTGTGTGCTGGAACGTGGTTACTGCTGAATGCTGCAAGCAAAGCTTTGGATGTATGGGCTGCTTTACAGTGAGTTAAAGCACTAGGTTAACTGTTCTTGAAGGCTAATTTGTTCAGGCTAACTATAAATTATTATTTATAGTGAGGCAGTGAATTCTGGGCTTGGGGTGGAACGGCACTGTTCTTCCAGTTGGAGTAACTGTCAACTTGTTCTTTGCAGGATCTAGTGAAAAGCCATTTGATGTATGCAGTAAGAGAAGAAGTGGAAGTCCTGAAGGAACAAATAAAAGAATTAGTTGAAAGAAACTCTTTACTTGAACGAGAAAATGCACTGTTAAAATCTCTTTCAAACAATGATCAGTTATCCCAACTTTCAACCCAACAGGCCAATCCTAGTAGCACTTCACAAGCGCAAGCAGTGATAGCACAGCCTCCACAGCCAACACAACCTCCACAGCAGCCGAATGTCTCCTCAGCGTAAAGCTTTCTTGCCTCGTTTAAAAACAAAAAAACCTGAGAGCAGTCTGTCCTTGTGTGCCACTGATGTTCTTTCCACTTTATATGAAAGCGAGTAGCCATGCTTCTGTTGTGTGTTTGGCCTTTTCAGTATTAGACAATCATTCTCCAAGAGCTTTCCCTCACTGATATGTTATGAAGTGCAGTTGGTGTCCATTATGTCATCAGTGCACAAGGGGAGTGGTAGACGGAGTTGTTAATGCAGAGAATGCATTTGCTTGGTGTGCCAGAGTGAGGTCTTTAAGAGCTTTGGTGGCTCTCCGAGGTTTCCATTGCCCATGGATTACTTTGAGCCTTGCTATCTTGTAAGAAGTAACAATTCATCTTAAGAGCCACTGTTCTTTCAATATAAGTAACATTTGCCTACATTAGTTTCATTTATTTGTTTTATTTATTACAGGGCTGCTATTTTCATAATGTACATGAACAATGTCACAGAACTTTTTTAATTTTTTAATAAATGTATGTATCAGTAAAATGATAGATGGGATTGCGTTTAATAGATAAAATGTTTAGGCAATAATTGAACAAAAGAATCCTGGCATATTTCTAACACTAATGGCAATTTACCTTTGGTATTTATTTACGGTAGTAAAGATCCAGCTTGAATGTAAATTTTGTATAGAGTGTAAGTATGAAGACCATAGTGCATCTGTACAGGTAGTCACCAGTTATTGTGATATAATAAATAATTGATGGGCTATTTTGATGAAGAAAACTTTGCTCATTTCTGTTTCTACTTTCTAATAGAGAGAAATTGCCACGATTCCTCTGCTTTTTGACATTTCGTATAATTTTTTTTTTGGGTGGGAATAAAAAGCTGTGAAATTGTTCAACCTACTTTGTAACCAAAGAAGCAAAGCTGTGTAATTGAGTTTTTTTATTTTATAATGCACATTCTTTATGTATTTTTATTTAGTGTTTTCTCATTCACAACTTTCTTTGCTGTCTAGCATGATCTGCATGACCTATAATCTTTGAACCACTTTCGTACCTCATGTTTTTATCCAGCACTCTTATTGTAATATGTAATAGTCTGTGAACAATGTCAAATAAAGAAAGAACAGCTGGTGTTGGTGGAGCTGAGCTAGTGTGCTATGCACTAGTTGTTTAAAAAAAATGAAGTGAGCCATCTTTTGTTCATTTAAAATGGTGTTTTGAATTTCGTATGCAGAAAACGTTTTGTTACATTGCAGATTTTAATGTATTTAATAAATGCAACATGCAGATTAAGTGCAGTGTATACTGAGTATTTAAATTAAAAATGTACATTTCATAAATACAGTTTCAAGCGAGACCATCATTTGTGTAAACTAACACAGTGTGTCAAATTGATGTATAAATATATATTTTAACACATTTTCTGAAATTAAATTGCAGTTTTGTTGAAAATTCATGGCTGTAGATATTGTTACAATGTAACTAAATTCTGTAGCTTTTTTAAATTCTGTATTTTTTATCGAAACAAAGGCAACTAGGGAGCCAGTAGTGGAATAATGCTGAAATTCTAACTGCAGTGCTGGAGTTCTAACTGCTTTTCTTGCAATAATCTTGCTGTGTGGTTTTTGTTTTTTGTTTTTTTTTTTTGGTGTGGCTTTTGAGGGGTGTTCTGGGAACAGCATATTTCTAATGTGGTCGGTGACTCTACTGGTTTGTTCTTGTACCAATCACGACGTGCTGAGGTATTGGTTTGGTTTGGTATCTTGGTGACAAAGCCAATCATTTACTTTTGAGAAGGTTCTCCGAAGAGCACGCCGCACAGCACGCCTTCCCCAAGCACGGTGTGGGGCACAACTGCGAGCTGCTGTTCCAGAGCAGGCGCTCTGGTTCGCTCCTGGGCCTGCGCCTGTTCCGTCATTGTGCCAGCATTACCTCGGTGTCCTCACCCTGTGTTTGTCTCAGCTCTGGTCACGTTCATATGTTACAGAAAAAACAACACTGGAAACTGAATGTTGGTGCCTTCCCTTCACTTCCCTTCATCTCCGGTGTTCTTCTAGTTGACAGCACCACCCCTTTCTGGTAAGCATCTGTTCACAGCACAGTTCAGAAAATGGTGGGGGTGGAGGTGTGTGTAAAAGCACTCACTGGTGTAATACACTAAAATATCTTCACTTACAGATCGGTGCTCTTGGCTTGCTATAAGCATGCATGTAGTGAAATAAGAGTTTTGCATACAAATTGGAAAACAAACTATTTCAGTAGCTAAGTTTATTTTCCCTCAAGTGTGAGCAAAAGCTCTCTGGCTGCACAGCAAGGATACGAGTGTCTGGAGCTCCTGTCTGATACGATTGGCTGGTAAAAAGAGATTTTAGGAATTACGTGTATAGGAAGCCTCCCTTCAGGTGAGTAATTGATTCAAACTTTTGTGTGGGGAACAAACTCTATATACAGGTACAGTGTTTCCCATTCTTAAGGATTGTAGGTAGTAAGGAGGCATTTGAAACATTGGAGTTGTTGGTGTCCTGATGATGGTAGAAGTAGAAAAGCAAGCCCGTTGGACTGAGAAAAGTCCTGATCGTTTCTGCACTCCCATGGACCTGGTTTCTATACATCTCTCCTTGTGTAATTCTGTAATCCTGTTGCGTGGAGTTGCCATTGTGCAAGCTCTGCCTTGAAAGGGCAAGTAGATCCACCTATGTGCGGGTGAAAAGAAAAAAAAACGTTGCTGGAAATGGGGGGTGGTGAGACAAGGTTAAGCTGATCCTGTTCCTAATCCTTTGCTTGCTTTTGCTCCTGTTAGGGGTTTTTGTTGTTTTGTATCTAGTTTTTCTCCTGGTGTTAAGTTGTATTTAGCTTTGAATACCACTGCTTGCTGTACTGAGAATACTATAAAGCGGCAGAACTGAGCTCGGAAGATGGTCTTTGGATTGTTGCTTTCTCTTCTTGAGAGGACGTCTGAGGCTGCTGCCTGGAGAGAGAAAGGAGTAACAGCTGCTCAGCACGCAGTGTTCATCCTGATGCTGTTACACATTTGATTTCAGAGACCTTGAAGAATGACTCCACCAGTGATCGTCTTGCTGTCAGGCTTTACGTACAGCCGTGTTCAGTCGGCGTCCTGCTGCTGCACAGCCTGCCTCTGCTGTCTTTGTGTCACAGCCGGCCAAGGCAGCCCGCTGCCAGGCAGCGCCTGCATCGCATGGGGGTGGCTGCGCATGGCCAAGCCCAGTGCTGGGGGCTTTCGGGTGGTCTCAGGAAAACGGCTGCGTTAGGGGAAATAGCTGCGTGCAGCTGGGCAGTTGGAGGTGATGCTGTGCTTTGGTAGGCAGCAGTGCCGCTGCGCTTCCTTGTCTTGGGCATTATTCCATCGCTTCAGCGTAGTGAGTAGAGAAGTTCAGCTGCTGGACTTGTGATGCTCGGAAATTAGGTGCACCCTGTGGCTGTGGGTGTGCCTGGTGTGGGTGAGAGGAGGAATGGTGTCCGCATCAAAAAGCGTGCTAGAGCAAAAAGGTCTTAAACTGACAAGCCTTAGCTTTCTGTCAGTTCTGGATTAGTCCTGGCATCTCAGAAAGTGTATGAGAGAACATGCAAGAAGCTGTAAAAGTGATGGAGGATGTGGAGGAAACGCTGAGGAGAGCTGGGTGGGAAGGGAAGGGAAGGCAACGCAACACGGTCAGAGCATCTCCAGGGGTGCTGAACGAGGTGAGTGCAGACCCTGGGTCACTGAAGCTCATGGATGGGGAGGAGGAGCACCCGGTGAAACTGGCAGGAGACCGGCTTAAAAGAAAAAACGAGTTTCCATTCATGTCTTCCTTTATTTTGAAGTAGCAGAAAGTGAACTTTGGAACTGGCCGCTGCAGGGTATGGTGGGGGGCAGGCGCTACGTTCTGAAACAGCTCAGCCAAAGTCCTGGATAGCAGGTTGGTGAAAAGGGGTGCGCCCTCATCCCCCCTACACAGCACCTGCGGCTGTGGGGAAAGGAGCGGGGGGAGCTGCAGAGGCTGCCGGAGGTGCCTGCGCCCAGCCCTGTCAGCGGCTGGCGCGGCTTGTGGCAGCCTTACCGGGCTGCCCGGGCCGGGTGTGTAGCTTGCAGGGAGCCGGTCTTGGCTGAAGAAGTTTTTCTCTTCAATAACGCGGTCACATCTTGGGGATAAGGTAAGGTTTCGGTCCAGCAGCAATCTGGAATGTCACCGCCTTGACCTGGGGGAGGATCGCGATTCACCGCGCTTCTGTTGGCCGCATCCCGGGGGGGCGCCTCCCCGCTCCCCGCCGGCCCCGGCCCCAGCGCCGCCACCCGCCCTCCTGCCGCTGCGCTGCTGCTGTTAACGGCTCTGACTTGTTTCTGTGCGGCCTGTGGCAGCGCTGCCCCAACGCTTCTCTTTCCTTTCTGCAGAGCAGCGGAGCACTCGCGGCCTGCGGCGGCCCCGCTGCAGCTGCGGGCCCGGCGCTGCCCGCGGGGGGGGGAAACCCCCGGGGCGCTGGGCCCGGGGCCCGCGGGCGCTGTGGAGCCGCCGGCCACGGGGCGGCGCCGCGCGGCGGGGCCGGGGCCTCGTTCCGGGACCGGCACCGGCGGGGCCGCCGCGGCCGGGCAGGAGGCGCCGGGCCCGCTGCGGGGCGGCCTCGCGGCCCCGGGAGGCTGGGGGCGAGCAGCGGGAGCTGCCGGGACCCCGCGCGGTGGGGCTGGGCCCTGCGCCCCTCAGCGCCCCGCTCCCCGCTCCGCTGCTCCGTGCCCGGCCGTGCTGCAGCGGGGCTCCTGCCCGCGGCCCCCCGGCTCCTCCGCCTTGCTCCTCTCCAAGCCGAGAGGGCCGATTGCTCCCCCCAGGCCTCGGGAGCCCCCCCCACCCCCCGGGTGCACCACCGGCCCCCACAGACCCGGCCCCGTTTGTTGGGCTCTCCCACAGCCGGGCAGCCCGGGCGCTGGCTGCTTCGGCTTCCCGGGCCGCGCAGTGGCACACAGCGTGGGATCTGCCCCAGTCGGTGGAGCCTGCTGGTCAAGGGAAGTTTTTTAGCAGCTTTATATGCAGGAACGGAGTCAAGTTTTGTAGTTGAATACAAAGTTGTTCTGAAATAAAGACCTGTTCCCTGGAAGGAACAACAGGGCATGGCAGCTGCTTGCTTGTTCCCTTAGCGCTGATACCACTCAGAATTTTTTCTAAAGACAAATGGCTCAAAGCTGGCAGGCCCACCCTCCGACAGCTGCCCATACGTTGTGATAAAGCTGGTCTGACAAACGAGCATCGGCCCCGAGCATTCGTTTGCAGGCATGTGGGGCGTACGGGTGTGGGGCGTAGGGGGCTCACCCTGCACCGCCGGGTGTAGTGACGCCCCAATGTAACCGCCCACGTAACGGAGGCCGGACTCCCAAGCAGTAATTGCTGCGAAAGGCAGTGTGATTTCCTTGCCTTTCTGTGCTGCAGCCCTCCTTAGCTGTACGTGTACTTTGCTGATATCTAATACCACGTCACCTGCAAAATGTCCTTGCTCTTGTTTTGCCAGCTGATTGCTAACGAGCCCATTAACTACGGAGCTTCCTCATCCCTTACGTAACCGGGTCTGTGCTCAGCTCTGACATTTTTAATGCAGAGAACCCAGCACACTGGTTTAAATCCAGCAGCACTTTCCAAAGGGCACAATGTGCCAAGCTGTAATTACCCGACAGAGGTCATTGCTGGCACCGGCTCTCAGACAGGGCTTGCTGCTCGTACTGTAATTACAAGCAAAAGCAGCTACTGCACGTCCTTCCATTCAGACATGACTAACAACATGCTTCTGCTTTTCTGAATCTGGTGGTGCTAGAAACCGAAAGAGCACGCTCAGCTCCTGGCTAGGCAAAGCATCACAAGCACTGATGAGTTCCACATTTGCACCAAAGCGAGCAGTCCTCTACACATTTAATCAGACTCTGGGCATGGTGGTGAGGGGGCAGCACGGCCCATTCTGAGGCCTCCCGAGCGAGGCTTGGGGCAGAAGCAGGACCCCCGAGGCCTGCCCGAGGTGTGTGCAGTGCCTGCTGCGGGGGGCTCCCCTCGCCCAGGGGGGACGGTCACCGAGCTAAGGCTGGTGTGACGCGGCCCCACCACCCAGTAAGGCACCGGTTTGCCAACCCCAGAAGCAACACAGCTCACATTTGAGAAGAACTTTATTTAAAATAAGAGATTATACAGAGTTCCCCTCCCCCGCCGGTTACAAAATATGAGCTTCCAGGAATAAGGAGCGTACGCTACGCCACATGGCTGGATTCTGGGGCACGGCCTGGGCCGTGCTGGCTTACACCAGTTCCAATGACTTCAAATGGAAAGGTGACAACTCACACCAGCAAGAAGTCTGCTCCTTCACAGCTAACAGACACGTAATTCATCTCTATAGAAACTTTTTTCTATTACTAGTAATGTAACCAGATTTTAAATTTCTAAGAAACCTGAAAAAAAATAATCTTCCTTTAGCAACTGCATGCAACAGCAGGCCGATTTAAGCCTGCCTTCACTTATCGCAACAGACATGGAGAGGCCGCCGCAGAGCCGAGGCCATCAGCAATAACGTATGATCAATAGCAGCATTTCTATTGTGATTTTAAGTTACATTCTTCTATACAGGCAGGGAGGGTTTCGCTTGGTATTTCAACGTTACTAAGAAGGAATTGTGACCATCCATAGGGAAGCAGTTTAGCGGTGGATCCATCGTTAGAGGAAACAGAGCTGAAAGCAGGATTTACCTTACACACGATTAGAGCATATATCGCGAGACACACCACGCTCCGCAGATGTTAGGCATAAAAGCAGAACTGTGGGTAGGAGGGGCAGGGTTCCCGGTACCTGCACGAAACATCCCCATACAACATTTTAAAATTTAAAAGCACGACTCATCGAAGGTTGTCCAAGAAGTATTTACAGCAAAGTCACAGCCTGCCGCCGGGAGAAGTTCAGTAGCTCTCGCCCTCGCTGATGAGCAGTCTGTGAGACCTCAGCACCGGGTTATGTCAGAAACAGCTGCTGCTCGGTCACGCTGGTCGCTAGGTAAGTAACTCCCACGAGCTATACAAACAAGCATTTTCTATTTATTAGAACAAGAGGTATAGGATAGAGTTTTCTGTCACGATAAGCATTTGAGCGCTAATGCACTGCCACATGCTGCAGTGCTGGTCTACACACACAGAGATGACGATTCACTTAGATAAGCAACAGAATGCCGTGCGGCCCGACTGCTTCGCTAGGAACATGCTTTAAATCTGTACTCTGGTACTACAGAAATCCTGGCTTCCAACTTTAAACGAGAGCATTTCCAGCTATACAGAGGCTTACACAGGTCTCGAGACCGGCGCGTACGGGTGCCGGGTCCCAGGTCTCTACACTGCGTACAGGTTAGCAGGTGTGCGCAGAACACGGAGGCGTGCTCTGCTCAATAAGTAGGTCCACGATTGTAGATGAACAATAGAATTTTATTGCTTTATACATGTGGTGCTTTCCAAGGCACTGCGGCACGGACTAGAAAACTCGGAATGACTCGTGAGGGGACCTGGAATGAGGCATGGCCGGCGCCGGGCGTCGTCCTGCGGGGGGTCCGGGGCCGGGGCCGGCCGGGCGCGGGGCGCAGTCGGTCGCGGTGCTCGGGAAGCCCTCACATGCCCATCCTGATGCTCTGGATGATCTGGAAGATGGCTGCAAGAGAGCAGACGGGCGGGCGGCTGCGCTCAGCGGGCCGCGGGGCCGCCGCCGGGGGTTGGCGGGGGGCGGCGGCGGGGCCGGGGCCGGGGCGCTCACCTGATCCGCACACCACGAAGATGAACAGCGCCAGCAGCCACGGCCCCACCGACGCCTTCTCCTCCGGGGCCGTCCTCTGCGGGCACCGCGCAGCGTCAGGGCCGGGACGGGCGGCACCGGGCGGCACCGGGCGGCACCGAGCGGCACCGGGCGGCCCGGCCCCAGCCCCAGCCCCAGTCCCAGCCCCAGCCCCAGCCCCGGCCCCGTCCCCCAGCCCCATCCCGGTCCCTCAGCCCCGTCCCGTCCCCGCCCCGCGCACCGAGGTCTTGGCGACGTTCCCTCGCTGGGTGATGTTCTTGCTGTGCTTCTCGTTGGCCATGCGGATGCGCTGCTTGGCCACCATGGTGCGGCCGGGCCGGGCCGGGCCGGCTCCGCTGCGCTGCGCTGCGCCCGCTGCGGCCCCGCTGCCAGCGTCAGCACCGCGCGGCGCCGCCCGCCGGAAGCGCGGCCCCACCACGTGACGCGGGCCCGGCGCCCGCCGCCAACCCGCGCGCCCGCCTCCGGCGCTTCCGGGGCCGCGCGCGCCGCACAGGGCGGAAGCGCTCCCTCGGCGTCACGCGCCCGGCGGCGCCCCCCCCGCGCCGCGCGACGTGGAGCTCCCTGCGGCCGCCGCGCCGCCGCTCACCCGGAAGCGGAAGCGGAAGCGACACCGGCCCCGCGCCAACATGGCGCCGCCCGCGCCGCTGCTGGCAGGTGGGCGCCGGGACGGGGCCGGGGCTGGGGCTGGGACTGGGACTGGGGCTGGGGCTGGGACTGGGACTGGGGCTGGGACTGGGACTGGGACTGGGGCTGGGACTGGGACTGGGACTGGGGGCAGGGCCGGGGCAGGGCCGGGTCCGGGTCCCGCTGTGCCGCCCTGCGCCGCGGCCGCCCGCCGGGAGCTGCCCTCGTGCGCCCGCCCCGTGCTCCCGGCCAGCCCCGCCCTGGCCTCGGCCGCCCCCGGCGGGGGCACGGGACGGGACGGGACGGGGCGGGACGGGGGTGCCGGTACCGGTGCCGCCGCTGTCCCTGCGGGGCCGTCCCGGCCGCCTCGCGGCCCTGCTCCCCGCCCCTCTCCTTTAACCCGGTGGAGCCGCCGGTGGCGGGAGGGCTCCGGCCTGTGCCCGCCTCCGCTGCTCGGCTCCAGGAGCGGGGCTCTTCGTGCTGGGGCTCCGGGGGTACCGGGGGGTGCCGCTGTCCGGGCTGGCCCCGGCCCCGCGTTGCTGCCCGCGGCCTCCTGCAGGTTGAGGTCCTGCCCCCTGCCCGGTGCGGGGCAGTTGGCTCCAGCCGGCCCTGCCCGGGTGCTGGGGCGCACGGAGAGCGGCGATCTGTGCACGCAGTGGTTTGGCCAAACTGACGCGCTCCGGGTTAAAACGTGCTCATCGGATCGTTCCTGAGGTGCAGGAGAGAGGCGCAGTGGGGATACGCAGCAAGTGAAGAGGCAGCTCCGAGGAGCGGCGTGAGGGTGGCTGCAGGCAGGGCTGGCTCCTGGCACTGCGCTGCTGTGGCTGCGCGAGGGCTCCGTGATCAGGAGGCCGAGCGGGAGCCCTGCGGGGTCCTGGGCAGCCCCCTGCGTGCTGCCAGACCTGCTGCTTGCTGAGACAACCCAGCGGCAGCGTCTGCAGCCGTGCTGGAGCTGCTGCGAGTCGTGGTATCTTGAGCCCTGTTGGTGAGGAAGCAGTCTTTCACCTCAGCTTTCGTCCGTAGATTGATCAAATGTCACCATTTTACACAGGCTGTTAGCCTTAGCTTTTAAAGCAGAAGTGCTGTGCCTTTTTGGTGTATACTTAGAGATATTTTTTTTTAGTTTTGATTGTTTCTGATCTTGAAGTCTTACATTAAAAGCTGCTATCTGCTGCTTCTGTAGGAAGGCAGGAGTCGAGCTTGATTATGAAGCGTGCCAGAGATCAGTTGCTTTGATCAGCATCGTGAGATTGGATCTTGTAGCTTGTGGGCTTCACCTGTAAATCATCCCCATGAGGAACTCTTACTGAAATGTGTAGGATCTTACCTGCGGAGTCCCTGCAACGTTTGGACTTTTTGTGAGAAGCATTTCACGTACAGTAGTTCAGACACTTGCTGGAGACAGTGAAGAACTTGTTATTTTTGTTAATCCCTCTTCATTTGAACAACCTTGTGCTTTATCGTTCTGTCCCATATCGAGAGTGACTGGCGCCTTTCTGCAACAAATACCCGTTTACATCAGAAGCTGATTTATTTGCAGAATGGTGTCAGAGACCTCTGATGTACTTGAGAAATTTGCGTTGACCTATTTATACTCTAATTAATAATCTTACATAGCCCGTTCAAAAAAAGTCAGCAAGAATACTCAGAATATAAGAGTAATATGTAATGT